TATTCTTGCGTCCATGTAGTCTATTCTTGCGTCCCTGTAGTCTATTCTTGCGTCCCTGTAGCCTATTCTCGCGTCCCTGTAGTCTATTCTTGCGTCCCTGTAGTCTATTCTCACGTCCCTGTAGTCTATTCTTGCGTCCCTGTAGTCTATTCTTGCGTCCCTGTAGTCTATTCTTGCGTCCCTGTAGTCTATTCTTGCGTCCCTGTAGTCTATTCTCACGTCCCTGTAGTCTATTCTTGCGTCCCTGTAGTCTATTCTCACGTCCCTGTAGTCTATTCTTGCGTCCCTGTAGTCTATTCTTGCGTCCCTGTAGTCTATTCTTGCGTCCCTGTAGTCTATTCTTGCGTCCCTGTAGTCTATTCTTGCGTCCCTGTAGTCTATTCTTGCGTCCCTGTAGCCTATTCTCGCGTCCCTGTAGCCTATTCTCGCGTCCCTGTAGTCTATTCTCACGTCCCTGTAGCCTATTCTCGCGTCCCTGTAGCCTATTCTCGCGTCCCTGTAGTCTATTCTCACGTCCCTGTAGTCTATTCTTGCGTCCCTGTAGTCTATTCTTGCGTCCCTGTAGTCTATTCTTGCGTCCCTGTAGCCTATTCTTGCGTCCCTGTAGTCTATTCTTGCGTCCCTGTAGTCTATTCTCACGTCCCTGTAGTCTATTCTCACGTCCCTGTAGTCTATTCTTGCGTCCCTGTAGTCTATTCTTGCGTCCACTCACGGCTGTTCAAGTTTCATCAACCAGCGACATCATTATATCTAAAGATGATGATACTCTTCAGTTTGTGCAACTGGAATGCACACAGAAAAGCGAAATATATATTTTTTCCTACTTTGCTTTTGATTACAAATTGAGGCAAAGTAAGCCAATTCTCCGACGAATAAGAGCAACTATGTGCTTAAAAAATAATTGTAATCATGCTCACAGTGCATGATCCCGTCTTCTTAAAGTATAAGCGACCAGATGTGTTCAGATGGCGGCGCTTTCTGCATGGTATGAGCGGCCGCGGGTTCGAAGCCTCTCTCTCTGCCATTTAGGAGGAGCGGCGATGGCGGGGCTGTTTGCCCAGCAGTTTATGGAGCGGTATCCAGCTATTATTTATCTTATGAGTAAGGTGAGGGCGGAGGCGCCATCACAACAACTCACAATGGTTCTGGTGATCTAGCACAGTCGTGGGATCCTTATGTCTCTCTCTCTCTCTCTCTCTCTCTCTCTCTCTCTCTCTCTCTCTCTCTCTCTCTCTCTCTCTCTCTCTCTCTCTGTCTCTCTGTCTCTCTGTGTCTCTCTGTGTCTCTCTGTGTCTCTCTGTGTCTCTCTGTGTCTCTCTGTGTCTCTCTGTGTCTCTCTGTGTCTCTCTGTCTCTCTCTCTCTCTCTCTCTCTCTCTCTCTCTCTCTCTCTCTCTCTCTCTCTCTCTCTCTCTCTCTCTCTCTCTGTCTCTCTCTCTGTCTCTCTCTCTCTCTCTCTCTCTCTCTCTCTCTCTCTCTCTCTCTCTCTCTCTCTCTCTCTCTCTCTCTCTCTCTCTCTCTCTCTCTCTCTCTCTCTCTCTCTCTCTCTCTCTCTCTCTCTGTCTCTCTCTGTCTCTCTCTGTCTCTCTCTGTCTCTCTCTCTCTCTCTCTCTCTCTCTCTCTCTCTCTCTCTCTCTCTCTCTCTCTCTCTCTCTCTCTCTCTCTCTCTCTCTCTCTCTCTCTCTCTCTCTCTCTCTCTCCCGTCTCCCGTATCTCCGTGAGTCTCTGGCTTCCTACACTTATCATGCATTGGTCTAACTAGTTAAGAAACGTGTACATCTTTCAGTAATCATGACAGATTAGTTATTAAACTGTTCACAAGCTTGGGAACGTCATAACCCATGGTTATTATGGTTATAAACAACTTTGTGTTGTTTCGGAGATATTAAAACGGTTTAATAACTCTACACACAGCTGCCATGACTGAGGAAAGATTAATAGGCTTCGTCAGTGCTTATGTAAATACTTCATGACCCCGAACGTAGCGTGTTTATTTATTTGTATCTTTTCTTGTGTTTCTTGAAAGGTTTAAACAAGAATTAACAATTAAAAATTGTCTTTCATTAGTTATTTTCTTCAAAGAAATCAAATTAATTGTTTAAGTTAACCAATGAAGGGCGGAAGAGTGGTTTGAACTGTCGTTACAGTCACTGTCACCTGTGTTACAGTCACTGTCACCTGTGTTACAGTCACTGTCACCTGTGTTACAGTCACTGTCACCTGTGTTACAGTCACTGTCACCTGTGTTACAGTCACTGTCACCTGTGTTACAGTCACTGTCACCTGTGTTACAGTCACTGTCACCTGTGTTACAGTCACTGTCACCTGTGTTACAGTCACTGTCACCTGTGTTACGGTCACTGTCACCTGTGTTACAGTCACTGTCACCTGTGTTACGGTCACTGTCACCTGTGTTACAGTCACTGTCACCTGTGTTACGGTCACTGTCACCTGTGTTACGGTCACTGTCACCTGTGTTACAGTCACTGTCACCTGTGTTACAGTCACTGTCACCTGTGTTACAGTCACTGTCACCTGTGTTACAGTCACTGTCACCAGCGGTACAGTCACTGTCACCTGTGTTACAGTCACTGTCACCAGCGGTACAGTCACTGTCACCTGTGTTACAGTCACTGTCACCTGTGTTACAGTCACTGTCACCTGTGTTACAGTCACTGTCACCAGCGGTACAGTCACTGTCACCAGCGGTACAGTCACTGTCACCAGCGGTACAGTCACTGTCACCAGTGTTACAGTCACTGTCACCAGCGTTACAGTCACTGTCACGTTACAGTTACAACAACAATAGGAGAGGAACAATGTCACACAAACGAGGCAGGAACAGAAAAACTAGTAATAACGACCTGGGTAAACACTGGTTTGGAAAAACCTGGGTAAATACTGGTTAGGAAAGACCTTGGTAAATACTGGTTTGGAAATATTTTTTTTGTATATATATGAAACACATGCCAAGTTGGCTTGCTCTTAAACTTGTAATTGTTTCACCCGTACCTTAAATTATTACATTTTATTAATTATTACATTAATAAAATTAGCAGATTTTTGGGAAAATATCTTAATATCTTAATAAAATATCTTAATAATAATTATTATTATTATAATTATTTTTGGGAAATTATCTTAATTAATTTAAATATCTTAATTATATTAATTATAAATTATAATTAATTTACTGGTTGTTTATGCCTCGCATTACTTGTTAGTGATAATAATACCTTGTGTCGGGGACAGGTAGCCAGTCTATATAACCAGAACACGTTAGGATTATATCGAGGTCTCCTCCCCCCCCCCCTGTAGGTCGAATTACAGACCCCCCCCCCTATCCCAGGACACAACCCCACAACAACCTGACTAACTCCTGGGAACCTACTCACTGCTGGGTGAACAGAGGCATGAGGTGATAGGAAACACGTTCATTCATTTCTGTCCCGCCCGGGGCTTGAACCTCGAGTTCTCGATTGTGGGCCGAGAACGAAGCCGACTGTACTACCGAGACCCTATCTAACTACCGTTCAGGACAACCTAACTGCCGTTCAGGACAACCTACCTGCCGTTCAGGACAACCTACCTGCCGTTCAGGACAACCTAACAGCCGTTGAGGGCAACCTAACTGCCGTTCAGGGCAACCTAACTGCCGTTGAGGGCAACCTAACAGCCGTTGAGGGCAACCTAACAGCCGTTCAGGGCAACCTAACAGCCGTTGAGGACAACCTAACAGCCGTTGAGGACAACCTAACAGCCGTTGAGGACAACCTAACTGCCGTTGAGGACAACCTAACAGCCGTTGAGGACAACCTAACAGCCGTTGAGGACAACCTAACTGCCGTTGAGGACAACCTAACTGCCGTTGAGGACAACCTAACAGCCGTTGAGGACAACCTAACAGCCGTTGAGGGCAACCTAACTGCCGTTCAGGGCAACCTAACTGCCGTTCAGGGCAACCTAACTGCCGTTGAGGACAACCTAACTACCTTTCAGGACAACCTAACAGCCGTTGAGGACAACCTAACAGCCGTTCAGGACAACCTAACAGCCGTTCAGGACAACCTAACAGCCGTTCAGGACAACCTAACTGCCGTTGAGGACAACCTAACTGCCGTTGAGGACAACCTAACAGCCGTTGAGGACAACCTAACAGCCGTTCAGGACAACCTAACTGCCGTTGAGGACAACCTAACTACCTTTCAGGACAACCTAACAGCCGTTCAGGACAACCTAACAGCCGTTCAGGACAACCTAACAGCCGTTCAGGACAACCTAACAGCCGTTCAGGACAACCTAACAGCCGTTCAGGACAACCTAACTACCGTTCAGGACAACCTAACAGCCGTTCAGGACAACCTAACTGCCGTTCAGGACAACCTAACAGCCGTTCAGGACAACCTAACTGCCGTTCAGGACAACCTAACAGCCGTTCAGGACAACCTAACTGCCGTTCAGGACAACCTAACTGCCGTTCAGGACAACCTAACTGCCGTTCAGGACAACCTAACAGCCGTTCAGGACAACCTAACTGCCGTTCAGGACAACCTAACAGCCGTTCAGGACAACCTAACTGCCGTTCAGGACAACCTAACAGCCGTTCAGGACAACCTAACTGCCGTTCAGGACAACCTAACTGCCGTTCAGGACAACCTAACTGCCGTTCAGGACAACCTAACTACCGTTCAGGACAACCTAACTACCGTTCTCTTCATGAATTGTCATGAAGGAAGGCTGTTAACGGCGGGTAATAACTTCCTCCCTCCATGTTCTCAAGGAAATTAATGTTCATCTTGTTCTGCAGTGAACAAAACTGAACACCATATTCTAAGTGAGATCTCAGTCCCGAGTTATGTTCTGTGATAACATGTGTTCAAGTTGATAACACTTTTGGATATATAGTGAAGAAACACTTTTATTGAAACAGTAAAGTAGAAACATCTTTAGAAACATCAGTAGAAACAGCTTTAGAAACATCTTTAGAAACATCTTTAGAAACATGAGTAAAACAGCTTTAGAAACATCAATAGAAACATCTTTAGAAACATCAGTAGAAACATCTTTAGAAACATCTTTAGAAACATCAGTAGAAACATCTTTAGAAACATCAGTAGAAACATCTTTAGAAACATCAGTAGAAACATCTTTAGAAACATCAATAGAAACATCTTTAGAAACATCAATAGAAACATCTTTAGAAACATCAGTAGAAACATCTTTAGAAACATCAATAGAAACATCTTTAGAAACATCAGTAGAAACGTCTTTAGAAACATCAGTAGAAACATCTTTAGAAACATTAATAGAAACATCTTTAGAAACATCAGTAGAAACATCTTTAGAAACATTAGTAGAAACAGCTTTAGAAACATCTTTAGAAACATCTTTAGAAACATCAGTAGAAACATCTTTAGAAACATCAGTAGAAACATCTTTAGAACATCAATAGAAACATCTTTAGAAACATGAGTAAAACAGCTTTAGAAACATCAGTAGAAACATCTTTAGAAACATGAGTAAAACAGCTTTAGAAACATCAGTAGAAACATCTTTAGAAACATCAGTAGAAACATCTTTAGAAACATCAGTAGAAACATCTTTAGAAACATCAATAGAAACATCTTTAGAAACATGAGTAAAACAGCTTTAGAAACATCAGTAGAAACATCTTTAGAAACATCAGTAGAAACATCTTTAGAAACATGAGTATAAACATCTTTAGAAACATCTTTAGAAACATCAGTAGAAACATCTTTAGAAACATCAGTAGAAACATCTTTAGAAACATTAGTAGAAACAGCTTTAGAAACATCTTTAGAAACATCAATAGAAACATCTTTAGAAACATCAATAGAAACAGTAGAAACATCTTTAGAAACATCAGTAGAAACATCTTTAGAAACATCAGTAGAAACATGAGTAGAAACCTCTTTAGAAACATCAGTAGAAACATGAGTAGAAACCTCTTTAGAAACATCAGTAGAAACAGTAGAAACATCTTTAAAGAAACAGTGTCTGCAGTAAAGAAACCTCTTTACTGTAGCACACACAGATACATGGTATCCTGGCTTCTTGGCAGCAAGGCCAGACAAGGAAGCACTAAGCCAGTATGACTGTAGATCGAGGCTTACAGCAATTACTAATTATGACTCCCACTACCACTTGGGCTGGACGGTAGAGTGCCGGTCATGCGGGTCGGTGTTCAATCCCCGACTGTCTAAGTGGTTGCGCACCATTCCTTCCCCTCCCCCCCCCCTGTCCCAACCCAAATCCTTATCCTGACCCCTTTCCAAGTGCTATACAGTCGTAATGGCTTGGCGCTTTTCCCCCTGTTCATTGAGCTCTGCGGGCTCACCATAGCCCGCGCTACTTGGAACTTTTTGTTCAAAGTAGCGAATCTTAAACAACAATAACCCTGTTCATTTATTTTACAAATGGAATTACCATTACGCACATTACTAAACTGATATTTAGTGTTGCATATTTTCCAGGACTTAGAGATACTTATGTAAAATAAACTGCATTTACAATTTCTTCCTGCATTTCTCTAGTGTTTCATTTGAATTTTTAGTTAATCTCATTTTTTTATTGCCTGAAAATTAACTTATATTGGTATTTACTCCTCAGTTGAGGTCACAAGACACTCAGATGTCATTCGCGATTATCCACCACTCTGCGTTTTCTATCCCTTAACTATCATCATATATAATTTATTTTTGGTAGCCATTGCCATGTGATTTAATGCTTAAGGTAAGGATAAACAATATCATGGCATCAATAACCACTGCCATAAAAAGCATTAAAACTATTAATGCTTCAGATAACATTCAAATGCTTCCCTTGCCCGAAACGCTATGCGTACTAGTGGCTTTAGGTATTGTATGTCAACCCGTTCTCGCACTTTCTTACAGTCAATATTGACTTATTAAATACGTGCATAGGTGACATACTAAACATACTAGTTTACCTTGAAAAGCTTCATAGAAAACACCGACCTTACCTAACCTTCTTAGTATGTTAAGATAAGCATCTTATTGCTTCATAAATACAATTATTACTTAACCTATACCTATAATAGGTTAAATAATAATTGTATTTATGAAGCAATACCTATACCTATAATAGGTTAACCTATACCTATAATAGGTTAAGTAGGTTAAGTAGGTTATATTAGGTTAACCTATAACCTATACCTATAATAGGTTAAGTAGGTTATATTAGGTAACCTATAACCTATACCTATAATAGGTTAAGTAATAATTGTATTTATGAAGCAATAAGATGCTTATCTTAACATACTAAGAAGGTTAGGTAAGGTCGGTGTTTTCTATGACGCTTTTCAAGGTAAACTAGTATGTTTAGTATGTCACCTATGCACGTATTTAATAAGTCAATATTGACTGTACGAAAGTGCGAGAACGGGTTGTGTATGTACTACCTCTATCTTTAAATCTAACAGAATGTTTGTACTGTAACGCTGCAACTACGTATGTACTGTTCCTAAAAAAATTATTATTATTATTATAACTTTGCCTCAATTGGTTATAAACTAACTCAAAGGTTAACTTCTTTAACACCTGGTACTACACTGGTGACCCTCCATGCTACTGGGAAAATTATGAGATTATTTAATTTGAAAATCGTTGCAGCTATCCGGGGATTCGAACCAGCGTTCTGGGTCATCCCATTCATGTGCCTACACTCGCATGCATGGCTGGGGTGACGCATAACACTGGTTCGAATCCCTGGAATGCTCCAATGATTTTTGCATGATGATATCACCTCGTTGTGATTTCCTAATGTGTATTATTTTATTTCTTTATTAATCTTGTGGGAGGACGTCTGGACTTTCTTGTATTGGTCTAATAACAAACTTCAGATTTTGTTCATTGTTAAATTATATATTTTCTTGAGTACTTCTGTAAATAGTGAATAATCTGGGCACATTCTTTAGTTCTTCCTTAGTGAGGTGTAATTGGTATTCAATTGCCAATTTCTCCTTCAGTGCCACCCAACCACTTGGGCTGGCCGGTAGAGCGACGGTCTCGCTTCCTGCAGGTCGGCGTTCAATTCCCGACCATCCAAGTGGTTGGGCACCATTCCTTAACCTCGTCCCATCCCATATCCTTATCCTGACCCCTTCCCAGTGCTATATAATCGTAATGGCTTGGCGCTTTCCCCTGACAGTTCCTTCCTTCCTTCCTTCAGTGCCAATTATGCCACTTTTGTAATATCCTAATCTTATCGTCAACTATATTTTCTCCAGTGCAGGCCCCTCCACCTGTCCTCACACTTAATACATCTCATTTCATTTACGAAACCGTTAAACACGCGACGTAAAAGTAAATATTAAAGCACCGTAATATTCGCGTTATCGGTCTCGATAAGTTAGGTTTATTGCTCGAGTTCGTACGTTGCTGGTTAAGCAAATCAGTTGCGTTTTCCCCGAAGTCGCAACTGTGCAAACTGTGATGCACTAAGAGGGTCGGCAGGAGAGTGGCAGCAGGGAAGGTCTGGTGGAAGTAACGTGATTGTAGTCTGAGGCAGCGTGATGGAGGCCGCTGTGCTGGGCTCCTGCCTCATGTGTGAATACATAAATACTTAATTAAATGCATTTTCCACCAGTCTCATCCCGGACCAAAACCCCATTACTTTAACTCAGTCCTAGTCACCACTCGCTGCTTCAACAAACTTAACAATTTCCACGAATAACGAAAACGCAATAACGGCAAAAATATTGTAGATAACGCAGGAATTCTCTAGATAACGGAGTGATGAATAAGAAGATATAATATAGTATGAAAGGAAAGTGGGAGTGGGTTTGCCCAGCGCCAGAGAGACAGTCGATCACTTGAGCGGGAACGGAGCGTAACCGATGTAAACAAACTGTCCGTATCTTCCCGTGATCGCGCATGTGTGTTTGGCTAATGGCTTCAATCGTGCCTATGTGCTTCAATAATGAGTTTTTAACCGTGCCGAACAGCTTCAGTAGAAACGTATAAGTTGGGCTTCTGAAATTGATTTTCTTTTGCTCTGTATACACATTACAGTTACAGTTAATAATGCTCATATCGACCGTGACTGACTGTGGATTGAGATGAGTGATTGATGAGGCTTGCGCATGTCTGCAACACAACAGCGCCTCATACTTGTATTAGTGAAAAACTCATCATCGCATCACTAACATGTGTATAATTATTCATTTGGCATTCATTGTTGTGTCAATAATCACATTTGTGTCATATTCGTAATCATAGTAGCCTCTTGTTATTTGTAAATGAAAATAGTTATTATTCAATTGGTAAACTCACATTTATTCCACCATGTCATGTCCATATGTGTCAATCATTGACAATGATGTCATGTTCAATTTTTTTAATAATTCACACCTATATCATGCTCACAAGTGTCAATCATTTACATCATATCATGTCCACATGTAGTCAACATTCACATCATGTCATACTCACAGGTGTGTATGTTCACATGTGTCATGTTCACATATGTCAATCAATCTTGACAGTTTCATATTCCTATATCAACCATTTTTATCAGTGCTGCATTCGGGTTTGGGTCATAATCTTGACAACCCATAACCTTGACAACCCATAATCTTGACAACCCATAATCTTGACAACCCATAACCTTGACAACCCATAACCTTGACAACCCATAATCTTGACAACCCATAATCTTGACAACCCATAATCTTGACAACCCATAATCTTGACAACCCATAATCTTGACAACCCATAATCTTGACAACCCATAACCTTGACAACCCATAACCTTGACAACCCATAACCTTGACAACCCATAACCTTGACAACCCATAATCTTGACAACCCATAACCTTGACAACCCATAATCTTGACAACCCATAACCTTGACAACCCATAATCTTGACAACCCATAATCTTGACAACCCATAACCTTGACAACCCATAATCTTGACAACCCATAACCTTGACAACCCATAATCTTGACAACCCATAATCTTGACAACCCATAATCTTGACAACCCATAATCTTGACAACCCATAATCCTGACAACCCATAATCTTGACAACCCATAATCTTGACAACCCATAATCTTGACAACCCATAATCGTGACAACCCATAATCTTGACAACCCATAATCGTGACAACCCATAATCTTGACAACGTATAATCTTGACAACCCATAATCTTGACAACCCATAATCTTGACAACCCATAATCGTGACAACCCATAATCTTGACAACCCATAATCGTGACAACCCATAATCTTGACAACCCATAATCGTGACAACCCATAATCTTGACAACCCATAATCGTGACAACCCATAATCTTGACAACGTATAATCTTGACAACCCATAATCTTGACAACCCATAATCTTGACAACCCATAATCTTGACAACCCATAACCTTGACAACCCATAATCTTGACAACCCATAATCTTGACAACCCATAATCTTGACAACCCATAATCTTGACAACCCATAATCTTGACAACCCATAATCGTGACAACCCATAATCTTGACAACCCATAATCTTGACAACCCATAATCTTGACAACCCATAATCTTGACAACCCATAATCTTGACAACCCATAATCCTGACAACCCATAATCTTGACAACCCATAACCTTGACAACCCATAATCCTGACAACCCAAAATCCTGACAACCCATAATCTTGACAACCCATAATCTTGACAACCCATAATCCTGACAACCCATAATCTTGACAACCCATAACCTTGACAACCCATAATCCTGACAACCCAAAATCCTGACAACCCATAATCTTGACAACCCATAATCTTGACAACCCATAATCTTGACAACCCATAATCGTGACAACCCATAATCTTGACAACCCATAATCGTGACAACCCATAATCTTGACAACCCAAAATCCTGACAACCCATAATCTTGACAACCCAAAATCCTGACAACCCAAAATCTTGACAACCCATAATCTTGACAACCCAAAATCCTGACAACCCAAAATCCTGACAACCCAAAATCCTGACAACCCATAATCTTGTTAGGCATATAAATTGCCGGGTTTATGGCTTGTTTTGATAATGGCTTTTCGGTATTGTGGATTGTCGCGGTTATGGCTTATCGTCATTATAGCTTGTAGGGATTATGTCATGCAGGGATTATGGCTTGTAAAGATATGGCTTGCAAGGATTATAGCTTATCATATAGAACTTTATGCAGGCGATGAGTCACAATAACGTGGCTGAAGTATGTTGACCAGACCACACACTAGAAGGTGAAGGGACGACGACGTTTCGGTCCGTCCTGGACCATTCTCAAGTCGATTGTGAAACTCTATATTTAAGTCTTCAATATGGCCGCTGCAGCTGTGATGGGATGAGGCAGCTTCCACCAACAGCTGGCTTGGTCATCACCACAACACTATGTCACACCTCACATTAATTTGTATATATTTTAACAGGTAAAACACTACTTCATGTCGTCTTATTTATCTACATTTCTCAAAGGGCTTTTCGCCCTTTAAGTTAGTTAGGGGCTAACTTAAAGCCTCTAAAACCCTCTGAAAGTTTAGCGTTTTTTTCGATAAGTTAATGTGTGTTCGCTTTACACTGGAATGATGGTTAAGTTATGTTAAAGTTTGAGGACTTTATGGTACAAGTGACTTAATAACTAAGTTTAAGCTTATGTGGTTTGTTGCTAATGGTTTCGTGAGGCTTTGTCCCTATGAGTCTACACTTATGTTCCTATGACTCTACACTCATGTTCCTGTGAGTGTGTGTCACCATTGCCTGGTGAACGACCTACGTGACGCATCTCCAGTTGCAACCCGCTCTCGCACAACACATAAATAATTTATTGCTTATAGTCACTATTTCGCTTATAAATAAGTATATATGTGACATATTCCAAGCCATATTTTTTTTCAAGGCACTAACTTTTCCTCTCAGTTTTATTAAACAATAAAGATTTTATACAAAATTTGACAATATCCTGAGTTACTTTACAATTTATTTAAATATTTTAGTTTTGTTTTATTATTTTTATAAAACTATAATATCAATATAGGTATAGTTTAGTACTAATTGTAATATCTTAACATACTAAGAAGGTTAGGTTAGGTTGTGGTTTTCTGTTCAGCATTTCAAGGTAAACTCAAATATTCACAATAAATTAGTATGTCACAGATGCACTTAGTGCGAGAACGGGTTGCTTATCCACGAGTTCTCATTGTGCAACCCGTTCTCGCACTTGCTTTTAGTCAATATTTGCTTATGAATAAGTCCATATGTGACATACTAATTTATTGTGAATATTTGATTTACCTTAAAAAGCTGAACAGAAAACCACAACCTAACCTAACCTTCTTAGTATGTTAAGATATTACAATTAGTACTAAACTATACCTATATTGATATTACAGTTTTATAAAAATAATAAAACAAAACTAAAATATTTAAATAAATTGTAAAGTAACTCAGGATATTGTCAAATTTTGTATAAAATCTCTATTGTTTAATAAAACTGAGAGGAAGAGTTAGTGCCTTGAAAAAAAATATGGGTTGGAATATGTCACATATGTACTTATTTATAAGCAAAATAGTGACTATAAGCAATAATTTATTTGTGTTGTCTTGTGGAGTGAGACACTCCACAATGAGAACTAGTGCAGTGGGTTATGGCAAAAAACGGTACTGTCACTATGTCAAAGAGGCATGACAGTCGTCGGTATCAGAGTGAAGGTGCGGGTGTGTGCCGCTACCTGCACTAACAACCTATTATGTCTTGCAGGTGTGGCGAGGAGGAGGGTTCAGCGCCGCCACGGAGCCGCCCTGGGCGCCAGCAGCCCGCCATGTCTTCCCCTCGGCTGGTCTGCACCTCCCGCCACAGCCCGACCCGTCGCAACTACCCCAGCTGGAAGCCCGACATCTGCAGCAGCCTGATCCCCGACACTTTCCCCAGCCGGATATCCGCGCCGTCCCCCCGCCTGACTCCCGCCACCTGCAGCAGCAGCAGCAGCAGCAGCAGGGGCGCGGCACCCCCCTTCCTCTACATCATGGCACGACGTCACCATCCCACAGCCGGCTGGGGCTTTTGAGCTCTTGTGTAAGAACGACTTCCAGAGTCACACAGCGGACGCTGCGTCAGCGGCACACTTCCCCGCTGACGCCAAGAACAGCGTCTCAATCCTGACGCAAAAGGAGGATGGTGAGTCTACACCTTTCGGTAAACTGCCTGCGAGCATGAGCAAGTTGCGGTTTACCTCCCAGGGAGAGTACGGACGGACATGTTTCCCGAGCGTGTCTCAGGACACCGGCGGTAGAGCGGCGCCACCCGGCCTGGAGGGCCGGATAAAGTTGGAAGAGCCGTGGCCGGGTGAGCGGGGGCCGAGCGTGCAGTTGTCGTGCTCAGCCCGACACGACTACAACGCCAACTTGTCGCTCATCCACCAACAAATACAGCAGCACCAGCAGCCTCCGCTGCAGCCGTCATTCCCGCCCGGAGGACAGCAGGTTTACCAGACGACAGCGATGGGACAGCAGTACTGCGCACAGCAGCAGCCGGCAGCGCAGCATTACCAGCATCCGGCTGCGCTGCAGACATGGGGCGCAGCATACCAGGGGGCCGAGGGCACGTCGTACGGAGGCGACCAGCACTACAATATCTACGCTCGCTCGGTGTACATACAGGGAGGTCCTGGGCCCCAGTACCCATACCCAGGATACCCAGGGCTCTCAGCGCCCTCTCCGGGGCCCTCGAGGCATCCGGCTGTGCCCCAGAGTGTTCTTCCGTCCCCACCTGCGCAGCCCTCAGCCCTCACCACGCCCATGAAGCCTCGTCGTCGCAGACGCTGGACGCGACGCAAGGCCATAACCCACACCTGTTCTCAGACGGGCTGCGCCAAGACGTACGCCAAGTCGTCACACCTGAAGGCACACATGAGGACCCACACCGGAGAGAAGCCCTACACCTGCGACTGGAAGGGTTGCGGCTGGAAGTTCGCGCGCTCCGACGAGCTCACGCGCCACTACCGCAAGCACACGGGTGACAGACCCTTCCAGTGCCGCCTCTGTGAGCGGGCTTTTTCTCGCTCAGACCACCTTAGTCTGCATATGAAGCGGCACATGGCCCTCTGAAGCTGTCATGAAGCGGCACATGGCCCTCTGAAGCTGTCATGAAGCGTCACATGGCCCTCTGAAGCTGTCATGACGCGTCACATGGCCCTCTGAAGCTGTCATGAAGCGTCACATGGCCCTCTGAAGCTGTCATGACGCCTCACATGGCCCTCTGAAGCTGTCATGACGCCTCACATGGCCCTCTGAAGCTGTCATGACGCCTCACATGGCCCTCTGAAGCTGTCATGACGCCTCACATGGCCCTCTGAAGCTGTCATCACGCCTCACATGGCCCTCTGAAGCTGTCAGACGACCGTCTGATGCTCACAAGAGGTGTCACAAGGTGTCGTGAGCTGCAAGGTGCCACATGGCCCCATGAGGGCCACATAATGCGCCTCACTCTTAAGCTAACATGAGGAATGATATAGCACTATGAGGCTCACATCTCGTCTTCTCAGGCGTTCACAACGTCACGAAATTGATGTACTAATTTATCCGAACCTAACTTAACCTAACCATGGACCCACAAATAGAAAACGGGACATCACGTTACTTTTGCGAGCCGCTGTGATGGTTAGTACATCGGTTTTTGGACGTAGGGAATTTATATGTGTCATAATACGATGTACTATTCGAGCGGCCGGGTTCATACTCACTTAAAGAGACACATATATGGCCCGCAGATATAGGGATAGATATACGCAGACTATCCTTAGGCACGAGGATAGTCATGCCTTCAGTCGCTCCTCCAGCTTATAGGATGCAGCTCTCAATTGGCTCCCATTGTGAAATAAAAAATGATGTTTTTACCAACTATAAATTCACATCATTATACATCATAATGTCTCGTATAGTTAACCGCAGGAGAAGTTAGGTTAGTTGTCTAGGTTCTGGAGGAATTTATTGTGTATTTTCAGTACGTGGGAGAAGCTTCAGCGAGGTGAACTTTGAACACAAGAAGTGAACGCTGTTTGACCCAAAGTTCAAAGCTATCAGTTATGAACAGAGAGTTTCTCATTCATCAACAGGGATAAGATTTGTGTTGACCAGACCACACACTAGAAGGTGAAGGGACGACGACGTTTCGGTCCGTCCTGGACCATTCTCAAGTCGATTGTGATGAGGAGGTAGGGACAGGCAATAAATAGGCAAGAGAGAGCTGAGGAGCAAAGTAAGGTATATTAGTAAGAACTGCAGAGGGCCTATTGGCTCATACGAGGCAGTTCCTATTATAACCACCTAAGGAGAAGTTAAAGATTTCTGAGTTAACGAGCATCAGGCCAGTGATTACGAGCACAGGCTGATAGTTGACCCTCACAAGGGTGTAAGAGGACCGGCTCAAAGGTCTAACTAGTACCATGGAACTAGTACCATGTATTGTTTTGAACTCTTACTAAAATAAAGAGTATTGTATTGTCTAGACTTATGAGTCGTCTTGAGAGCCTCTGAGTCTGACATGACTCTCTGAGTATCGTTATGTAATTATGTACTGTTGTAACTGTACACATATGTAAATGTACACCTGTGTAACTATAAGTCTGAATATCTAAGTACATGTGTATAGAATACATATGTACAAGAAATACCTATGTATATGTGTCAAGATAATATTCGTGTACACTTGTACAGGGAATATCCGTGTACACTTGTACAGGGAATATCCGTGTACACTTGTGCAGGGAATATCCGTGTACACATGTGCAGGGAATATCCGTGTACACATGTGCAGGGAATATCCGTGCACACAGCAGCCCGTCCTCCAAACAAAGATCCAAAAGTGATTCCATGCACCCGCCAAACCCCCAGCTGTTTATGAATGAAAAACGGTTTACACACGACTCACAACTGCTGACGTTCGAACACTTCCGGAACAAGTGCTTCACTGACGAATTTTGTTCGAACCACAACGCTGTAAATGCTTCACCCACGTACTACAAATACAAATAATCGCCAACAGAACCTAAACACCTAACCTAACCTATGCCTATATATGCACAATATGCTAATATATTATAATATTAATTTATATTTGAGAAAATTCCCGTTTTGAATGAACAGCATGTTAAAATTGATGAATGCGTCTGTGGGGTCGACCGCTGGATGGAATGGACTTGGTCAGATGACGGGTTGGATTGTACTATTATCTTTGCTACTGTTGCGCTCCTGTTGCTTATTGTTGGTGTTAAATGAGTCAAATTATATGGTGAAGCTGTAATTATTATCTTAATTTATAATTAATTATTTATTTTATTATTATTATTATTAATAGTAATATTATATAATCTTTGACAAATAAAATCAACAAATGACAATATATTAACCATTTATGTCAAGTATGATTCAAGAATGATACAGTGTTCATGTTCCAACCCGTTCTCTCACTTTCTTAGTCAATATTGACTTATTAAATACGTGCATATGTGACATACTAATTTATTGTGAATATTTTAGTTTATCTTGAAAAGCTACATAGAAAACACCGACCTTACCTAACCTTCTTTGTATGTTAAGATAAGCATCTTATTGCTTCGTAATTACAATTATTACTTAACCTATTATAGGTATAGGTTAAGTAATAATTGTAATTACGAAGCAATAAGATGCTTATCTTAACATACTAAGAAGGTTAGGTAAGGTCGGTGTTTTCTATGAAGCTTTTTCAGTGTAAACTAGTATGTTCAGTATCTCACATATGCACGTATTTAATAAGTCAATATTGACTGTAAGAAAGTGCGAGAACGGGTTGCATGTTCTTATATGGTGTTCATGTTCTTATATGGAGACATGTTCTTATATGGTGTTCATGTTCTTATATGGAGACATGTTCATATATAACCTGAACAATCAGGTGTATAACAATGTTCTTGCCATTAATAACTGCTAACAACATAACAGTCTGTTCTTTAATCCTTAAAACGAATTAAATACGTGAATAAATACGAATTAAATAAGTGAAAACCATTAAATAAGAGATAAAACATGTTAAATAAGAACGTAGTTAGCAAGAAGTGAGCCCACGGCGCCTATTGGTCCATCCTGGCCAGAGATGGACCAATAGGCGCCGTGTCCCTCCAGCCCTTCTCACTCTAGTATTTACAGTGTCGACAGTTCCATCCTCTCCAAAAATCAACCGCGGTGTTTAACACGCCCCAGTGAAGGATGCTGTGGTGAGCCCGTAGTGGACTTACCTGCCACAGGAGCGGGGCTGTGGTGAGCCCGTAGTGGACTTACCTGCCACAGGAGCGGGGCTGTGGTGAGCCCGTAGTGGACTTACCTGCCACAGGAGCAGGGCTGTGGTGAGCCCGTAGTGGACTTACCTGCCACAGTGAAGGATGCTGTCGTGAGCCCGTAGTGGACTTACCTGCCACAGTGAAGGATGCTGTGGTGAGCCCGTAGTGGACTTACCTGCCACAGTGAAGGATGCTGTGGTGAGCCCGTAGTGGACTTACCTGCCACAGGAGCGGGGGCTGTGGTGAGCCCGTAGTGGACTTACCTGCCACAGGAGCGGGGGCTGTGGTGAGCCCGTAGTGGACTTACCTGCCACAGGAGCGGGGCTGTGGTGAGCCCGTAGTGGACTTACCTGCCACAGGAGCAGGGCTGTGGTGAGCCCGTAGTGGACTTACCTGCCACAGGAGCAGGGCTGTGGTCAGCCCGTAGTGGACTTACCTGCCACAGGAGCAGGGCTGTGGTGAGCCCGTAGTGGACTTACCTGCCACAGGAGCAGGGCTGTGGTCAGCCCGTAGTGGACTTACCTGCCACAGGAGCAGGGCTGTGGTCAGCCCGTAGTGGACTTACCTGCCACAGGAGCAGGGCTGTGGTGAGCCCGTAGTGGACTTACCTGCCACAGGAGCGGGGCTGTGGTGAGCCCGTAGTGGACTTACCTGCCACAGGAGCAGGGCTGCGGTGAGCCCGTAGTGGACTTACCTGCCACAGGAGCGGGGCAAGTAGCACGGGCTGTGGTGAGCCCGTAGTGGACTTACCTGCCACAGGAGCAGGGCTGTGGTGAGCCCGTAGTGGACTTACCTGCCACAGGAGCGGGGGCTGTGGTGAGCCCGTAGTGGACTTACCTGCCACAGGAGCAGGGCTGTGGTGAGCCCGTAGTGGACTTACCTGCCACAGGAGCGGGGCTGTGGTGAGCCCGTAGTGGACTTACCTGCCACAGGAGCGGGGCAAGTAGCACGGGCTGTGGTGAGCCCGTAGTGGACTTACCTGCCACAGGAGCAGGGCTGTGGTGAGCCCGTAGTGGACTTACCTGCCACAGGGGCGGGGGCTGTGGTGAGCCCGTAGTGGACTTACCTGCCACAGGAGCAGGGCTGTGGTGAGCCCGTAGTGGACTTACCTGCCACAGGAGCGGGGCTGTGGTGAGCCCGTAGTGGACTTACCTGCCACAGGAGCGGGGCAAGTAGCACGGGCTGTGGTGAGCCCGTAGTGGACTTACCTGCCACAGGAGCAGGGCTGTGGTGAGCCCGTAGTGGACTTACCTGCCACAGGAGCGGGGGCTGTGGTGAGCCCGTAGTGGACTTACCTGCCACAGGAGCAGGGCTGTGGTGAGCCCGTAGTGGACTTACCTGCCACAGGAGCGGGGCTGCACGGGCTGGTGAGCCCGTAGTGGACTTACCTGCCACAGGAGCGGGGCAAGTAGCACGGGCTGTGGTGAGCCCGTAGTGGACTTACCTGCCACAGGAGCAGGTAGCACGGGCGGGGGCTGGTGAGCCCGTAGTGGACTTACCTGCCACAGGAGCGGGGCAAGTGGTGAGCCCGTAGTGGACTTACCTGCCACAGGAGCAGGGCTGTGGTGAGCCCGTAGTGGACTTACCTGCCACAGGAGCAGGGGCTGTGGTGAGCCCGTAGTGGACTTACCTGGCACAGGAGCGGGGCTAGCACGGGTGGTGCCCGTAGTGGACTTACCTGCCACAGGAGCGGGGCTGTGGTGAGCCCGTAGTGGACTTACCTGCCACAGGAGCAGGGCTGTGGTGAGCCCGTAGTGGACTTACATAGCACAGGAGTGGTGCTGTGGTGAGCCCGTAGTGGACTTACCTGCCACAGGAGCGGGGCTGTGGTGAGCCCGTAGTGGACTTACCTGCCACAGGAGCGGGGCTAGCACAGGGTGAGCCCGTAGTGGACTTACCTGCCACAGGAGCGGGGCAAGTAGCACGGGGCTGTGGTGAGCCCGTAGTGGACTTACCTGCCACAGGAGCGGGGCTGTGGTGAGCCCGTAGTGGACTTACCTGCCACAGGAGCGGGGCTGTGGTGAGCCCGTAGTGGACTTACCTGCCACAGGAGCGGGGCTGTGGTGAGCCCGTAGTGGACTTACCTGCCACAGGAGCGGGGGCTGTGGTGAGCCCGTAGTGGACTTACCTGTCACAGGAGCAGGGCTGTGGTGAGCCCGTAGTGGACTTACCTGCCACAGGAGCGGGGCTGTGGTGAGCCCGTAGTGGACTTACCTGCCACAGGAGCGGGGCTGTGGTGAGCCCGTAGTGGACTTACCTGCCACAGGAGCGGGGCAAGTAGCTGTGGTGAGCCCGTAGTGGACTTACCTGTCACAGGAGCAGGGCTGTGGTGAGCCCGTAGTGGACTTACCTGCCACAGGAGCGGGG